ATCTCTTCTCCAGCCAAGGCTCCAGGTGGACAAGAAAAAGGCAGGGACCGTTTGAGAAAGGAGGGGGCAGGTGTCGGCCCCGAGCGACCAGGGGGCCGATGCCGCGTTACAGCAGCCTCGATGTGGCCCCGCAGCCCAGATGTGCAGGAGCAGCGGAGCAGACCACACTGTGCGCCAGCACTTCTGCAGACGCTCCCGTGGGGTGGAAGAAGCGCACGGAGGTTGGCCCTAGATCACCGCGATCAAACAGAGCAAACAGAGGCCAGCGGATCCCCTTTCTCCTCCTCTCACTCGGTCTCGCGCCTAGAGCACTTCCCTGAATTTTGCTCCTGTTTTATTAAAAAGGTTGGTACAAAGGAAGGCCAGCTCGGGGTCAGCAACCGCCCCGCGCTCCCCGCCTTCCCGCCCACCGGCTGGGACAGGGCTGGTGCTGCTCCTCTTCCGTTGCTCAGGAGCCAGAGAACTGCTGCTACGCAGGCTGCTGCCAGGCTCGTGCACCCTCCTCCCCTCTCTGAAGGTGCTTCAGCAGGACAGTGCAATGGTGGAGCGGCAGTCCGGCTGGAGAGCCGGGAAAAGGGGCACTCAGGGTGGCCCCCCGGCTTCACCTGCAGGCGACGCATCCAGAGCCGTGTTGCAGCCCTCCCACCAAGCTTGCATGCGAGCCCTGCTGCTCTGGGGCTCCCCACTTTCCTGAGCCCTGCCCTGCCCCCCCAGGGGCTTTGCTGGGCAGGAGCCGCCATGCCCCTTCAGGCTCTGAAAAGCACCAACTCCAGCAGCATCTCTCTTCAGGCGTTTGGTGGGGTGCTCTCCTCCCTCCTCTCTGGGGCAGGAGGGGGTGGAGGCCGGCCTGCCCCTCCCTGGCCTTTCAGGCTCTCTGCTCAGCCAGGGGCCTTCTCAGTCCACTTCCTCTGGGGGGAAATTCTTCAAGGGGGCAGCTGTGCTCGGCCTTCTGCCGCAGGAGAATCCACTGGGGCTGAGTTTGTGGCTGACCTGGAATCCTGGGAGCCGCTAAGGGGTCCGCCACCCTGAGCCAGCTAGAAGCCCCCGCCGAGGCCGACCGGCCACTCTCGGCCGCGGCCTGCTCTTTGTGGAAGGAGGGGCCGCCTCGCCCCCCCCCATCCGGCTTCCTCTGCGGGGGGAGGGGGCTGTGAACGGGTGGGGGATTCACCATGGGGCTCTCTGAACCCGCCCCGCTGCCCGCAGCACCCCACACCCCAAAGGTCCCATCTCAGGAGGCAGCCGGTTGCAAGCGAAAGCGAGGGTCCCATCCAGCCCCCCAGCCGGTCTCCGTGGTCAGACCCGCACGCTGGCAGTGTTACGAAGCGCCTTGCTCTTTTCTTTCGAACCTCAGCCGGTACTTCTCGGTGTAGGGCGAGAAAGTCCCCGAGCCGCCGAAGGGGGATTTGGGGCGCATGTTCCGCCCAGAAGTGATGAGGGCCCCGAAGCCCTGCTGGTGGGAGAAAGCATAGCCGGAGCGGCGGGACGCGCTGCGCTGCAGATACCTCTTCAGGGTGGGGGGCGCGGGGGCTTTGCGGAGCTCCTTCACCCTGCGCAAGACCTGCGGACAGACCAAAGAGCCCAAGCTGAGCGGGGGCTGGCCCTGGAAAATACGTGCGCTCTACTACGCTCCCCATCTCAGTCTCCGAGTCATTTGAACATAGGATGTCTCTCTCACAACGCCAAGCTTCTGCGCTGAGCTGCGTCCAGCTGATGGGAGGGAAGGGAGGGGAGGGGAGGGGGCAGAGCGCGTGGCACTCCACCCACGCTGGACGTGGACAGTGAGGGGTGTTTCTCATTCTGCGTGGATACGTGCATTTCCATCACACTGGGCCCTTTGGGGATAAGCCACACTTAAATGGGAAAACAAGCGGGCATAAACCAACGAAAGGGAGGAGAGGAGCATGAAGTCTCCCTCTGGCCGACCCCTCTACCCCTTTCCCTCCTTGCAGGGCCTCCTTGCTTCCGCCCCGCTGCACTCTCGCCTCTGCCCGCTTAGGTGCCCCCCTTGTCCCCTCCCTCCCCCTCCCCTCCCCTCC